TGAAATAGTGACTGATATGTTTGATGATGGTGAGACAAGACTGTGAAATAGGGACTGATATCTTTGATGATGGTGAGACAAGACTGTATGAAAGATGACTGATATGTTTGATGATGGTGAGACAAGACTGTGAAATAGGGACTGATATGTTTGATGATGGTGAGACAAGACTGTGAAATGAAATGACTGATATCTTTGATGATGGTGAGACAAGACTGTGAAATAAAAGGACTGATATGTTTGATGATGGTGAGACAAGACTGTGAAATAGGGACTGATATCTTTGATGATGGTGAGACAAGACTGTATGAAATAATGACTGATATGTTTGATGATGGTGAGACAAGACTGTGAAATAGGGACTGATATGTTTGATGATGGTGAGACAAGACTGTGAAATAGTGACTGATATCTTTGATGATGGTGAGACAAGACTGTGAAATAGGGACTGATATGTTTGATGATGGTGAGACAAGACTGTAAAAATAGTGACTGATATGTTTGATGATGGTGAGACAAGACTGTGAAATAGTGACTGATATGTTTTGATGATGGTGAGACAAGACTGTAAAATAGCGGACTGATATGTTTGATGATGGTGAGACAAGACTGTCAGAAATAGTGACTGATATGTTTGATGATGGTGAGATGAGACTGTAAAATAGTGACTGATATCTTGATGATGGTGAGACAAGACTGTGAAATAGGGACTGATATGTTTGATGATGGTGAGACAAGACTGTAAAATAGTGACTGATATCTTTGATGATGGTGAGACAAGACTGTAAAATAGGGACTGATATGTTTGATGATGGTGAGACAAGACTGTGAAATAGTGACTGATATGTTTGATGATGGTGAGACAAGACTGTAGAAATAGGGACTGATATGTTTGATGATGGTGAGACAAGACTGTGAAATAGTGACTGATATGTTTGATGATGGTGAGACAAGACTGTGAAATAGGGACTGATATGTTTGATGATGGTGAGAATGAGACTGTGAAATAGTGACTGATATGTTTGATGATGGTGAGACAAGACTGTGAAATAGGGACTGATATGTTTGATGATGGTGAGATGAGACTGTGAAATAGTGACTGATATCTTTGATGATGGTGAGACAAGACTGTGAAATAGGGACTGATATGTTTGATGATGGTGAGACAAGACTGTGAAATACTGACTGATATGTTTGATGATGGTGAGACAAGACTGTGAAATAGGGACTGATATGTTTGATGATGGTGAGAGACAGAGACTGTGAAATACTGACTGATATGATATGTTTGATGATGGTGAGATGAGACTGTGAAATAGTGACTGATATCTTTGATGATGGTGAGACAAGACTGTGAAATATCAGGACTGATATGTTTGATGATGGTGAGATGAGACTGTAAAATAGTGACTGATATGTTTGATGATGGTGAGACAAGACTGTGAAATAGTGACTGATATCTTTGATGATGGTGAGACAAGACTGTGAAATATGACTGATATCTTTGATGATGGTGAGAGACAAGATATGTTTGATGATGTGAGAAATAGTGACTGATATATCTTTGATGATGGTGAGACAAGACTGTGAAATAGTGACTGATATGTTTGATGATGGTGAGACAAGACTGTGAAATAGTGACTGATATGTTTGATGATGGTGAGACAAGACTGTGAAATAGGGACTGATATGTTTGATGATGGTGAGACAAGACTGTGAAATAGTGACTGATATGTTTTGATGATGGTGAGACAAGACTGTGAAATAAGGACTGATATGTTTGATGATGGTGAGACAAGACTGTGAAATAGTGACTGATATGTTTGATGATGGTGAGACAAGACTGTGAAATAGTGGACTGATATGTTTGATGATGGTGAGACAAGACTGTGAAATAGTGACTGATATGTTTGATGATGGTGAGACAAGACTGTGAAATAGTGACTGATATGTTTGATGATGGTGAGACAAGACTGTAAAATAGTGACTGATATGTTTGATGATGGTGAGATGAGACTGTGAAATAGTGACTGATATCTTTGATGATGGTGAGTCAAGACTGTGAAATAGGACTGATATGTTTGATGATGGTGAGATGAGACTGTAAAAATAGTGACTGATATGTTTGATGATGGTGAGACAAGACTGTGAAAAATAGTGACTGATATCTTTGATGATGGTGAGACAAGACTGTGAAATAATGACTGATATCTTGATGATGGTGAGTCAAGACTGTGAAATAGGACTGATATGTTTGATGATGGTGAGATGGAGACCTGTGAAATAGTGACTGATATGTTTGATGATGGTGAGACAAGACTGTGAAATAGTGACTGATATGTTTGATGATGGTGAGACAAGACTGTGAAATAAGGACTGATATGTTTGATGATGGTGAGACAAGACTGTGAAATAGTGACTGATATCTTTGATGATGGTGAGACAAGACTGTGAAATAGTGACTGATATAGTTTGATGATGGTGAGACAAGACTGTGAAATAGGGGACTGGATATGTTTGATGATGGTGAGACAAGACTGTGTGAAATAGGGACTGATATGTTTGATGATGGTGAGACAAGACTGTGAAATATGGACTGATATGAAGTGACTGATCTCTTTGATGATGGTGAGACAAGACTGTGAAAATAGGACTGATATGTTTGATGATGGTGAGATGAGACTGTGAAATAGTGACTGATATCTTTGATGATGGTGAGACAAGACTGTGAAATAGGGACTGATATGTTTGATGATGGTGAGATGAGACCGTGAAACATATGACCGACATCTCTCGATGATGGTGAGAAATACTGTGACTGACCGATATGTTTGATGATGGTGAGACAAGACCGTGAAATAGTGACTGATATCTTTGATGATGGTGAGACAAGACTGTGAAATAGGGACTGATATGTTTGATGATGGTGAGACAAGAGACTGTGAAATAGGACTGATATGCTCTTTGATGATGGTGAGACAAGACTGTGAAATAGTGACTGATATCTTTGATGATGGTGAGACAAGACTGTGAAATAGCGGACTGATATCTCTTGATGATGGTGAGTCAAGACTGTGAAATAGGGACTGATATGCTTTGATGATGGTGAGATGAGACCGTGAAATAGACTGACATGTTTGATGATGGTGGGAGACAAGACTGAAAATAGGACTGATATCTTGATGATGGTGAGACAAGACTGTGAAATAGTGACTGATATGTTTGATGATGGTGAGACAAGACTCAGAAATGCAGACTGATATGTGTTTGATGATGGTGAGACAAGACTGAAAATAGTGACTGATATGTTTGATGATGGTGAGACAAGACTCAAAATACCGACTGATATGTTTGATGACGGTGAGACGACTCCGGTGAAACAGCGGACTGATATCCTTGATGATGGTGAGACAAGACCGTGAAATACTGACTGATATCTTTGATGATGGTGAGTCAAGACCGTAAAAATACTCGACCGATAAGGTTTGATGAT